TTAAAACCCCTGGTTAAAACTTTTCTTAAAAGTTTTTCCAAACAGGAGTTTTTAACAATCTAAGTTGATAATAAAAACTGACGCACCACAAAAACACTGAGTGTTTTAAAATCCCAAAGTCAGTAAACTACGATGTTAACCTTAAAAAGAATATGTAACGTGATGGAGGAGCTATTCCACCGAAGGTTATTTACCCTCTCTCCTCAGGAAGAACTAATCTGCATGAGACTGCCTCAGGGTCATGCATTTGCTTCTAAACTGTTTCCTTTCCAGCTCAAGAGGAGAATGAAGACAAAGGACTCTTTCTTTTTAATAAATCAAAGAACTCCATTTTAATAAGTTAATCAAACTGTTAGCCAATAATAAAATGTGAACCAATCTGTGAAATGAAAATATTAACTACTTGATATTATAATCCTATAGAATTTAATAAGTAATATACCTTTAAATATTTCCACTAGAGACTGATCACACGCAAGGTCACGCCACATGACACATTGCTTTTACTGATCCAATCAGAATCTTCCAGATCTGACGGAGGCTTGTGTTGGTGGTGCTTGGTAAAGCTGACTTTTTTTGATTCGACTGTAAATCAAAACATCCAAATTATGAAACTATGCCCACGTCATCTTAAACTCCAGTTCAAAGCTTTCTAGAGAAGTTGTTGGAGTGGCCAATTCATAACTTTCCTCTTCAGCCGAAAGAACCTAACGACAAGCTGGATAAAATCTGTTGCTGTTCCACCTGCTGCAACGGTTCCTTTCAGAATAAAAGCTGAACCATCACGACCCCCTTTTTGGGTCTCGCTAGATGCAAATAAAACTGTCGTGACCCGGAAGTATCTCAAGACTGGTCTGGTCGGCAACCGCTGCTTTTCTTACCGCCTTCGGTTCCAGAGAAGGTCAAGCTGGACCTTGACATTCCTGATCTAATGGGGACTTCTGCCAAGGGTACGCAGGCCGGCAGAATGGCGTCTCAATGCGTGTTATAAATCTCCAAAACAAAGCTTAGCGCAAAACATCTTCACTCCCATCAGAACTGATCGTTTCTCCGGATTTGCTGGTTCTGAATAACATTTCACACATACACCATCCTCAGTCTTACTTCACCTTAGTTACATCATACGTTTAGTGTTTAAAGTTAGCCTAGTTTAAATTTGTTTAGTAATAAATCTTTAAACTTTTAAAACTTGACTCTCTTTCTTTCATCTCTGAGTTAATACCAAGTGGTTACATAATCCCTGCAATAAAAAGTTCCAATCTTCTGGTTTAAATTATCCAAAGGTCCATAAGATTGATTTCAAAGTTCCTATGGAATCTCACATTTTATGGTTCATTAATAATATATAAATTTAATTGTTACAAATACATAAACCAAAAAGATCACATAGATCTTCTAAATTACACAAAAGGGTTTTAGAGTTTTTCTCAGCTGCTTTGGTGCATTTCTCAAAACAGAATTGATCTCTGCACCACTATTAAGGCTCTTCTCAAAACAATTAGTGCAAACTGCAAAACATGGTGGATAACTTGCTGCCCGATGAGTGAGTCACTTCATCAAAAAGAAAAGTCAGTTGCTCAAAACATGTAGTCAATGCTTCAAACGCAAGCCCCTTAATCAAAACAGATAATATATTCATCAAAAGCAAGTACTTATATCAATCAAAGTGTCAGGGCCGTCACAATTACAAGTCATTACACCAGCACCTTTGGTCACAAAACCAAATGGTTTGAACATGTTCTCATTGTGATGGATTTCTTTGTAGGTGCTTCCCAACGACATGTCAAGTCTGGACAGCATGCACGGCATGTTGAAAACCATAAATTGTAAAGGAAAATAAAGATGCTTCATTTGCATTCTTGATAATATTTAACTGAACTGTTCACAGCATTGTGCAACTGGGGAAATACAGTAAAACAAGCATTTTACAGCAAACATAAACTCACTTAGACAGTAAACCTTACTGCAGTAGTTATGAAACAAAAAAAAAAACTGAACAGACACTGCTTCATATCAGTCATTGATATCTAGACGCTCCCGCCTGTCTGCCCACATATTTTCATCAACATCACAGGGAATGTCAGCTCTATCGATGAATCGGGGAAAGTATCTTCTGGAGTGTCAAATCCACCCTCTGCAGGACTCTGGTGTGATGTCATCACAATCTGCATCCATAGCTGCTAGCAGGGTCACTTGGGTATGTGGATGCCTGTCATATACCTTCCACCTCCCGGAAGAGAAAAACTCCTCAATTTGATTTAGGAATAGAGTGTAAGGAGGAAGAAACTCCATAAGCATCCTGTCGTGTGCTGCAAACCACTGCCTGACTACAGCAGAGTGATGGAAGCTAACATTACCCCAAACCACTACATACATTGTCTGATTGTCACCAGGACACACACCAATTTTCATTTGTGTGAGATAAGGTTCACCTGAGAAAAGTAATTTATGGAGATTTCCATGGAAACTCCTTAAAAATAGGGTTTTCAAAATGGGTGTACAAATTGTTTGACAAAATGTTCAACAATTTCGAGTGCAATGACACAAGCAATGAAATGAAGACTATTAGTTGTAAGGACAATGACTATTCAGCCGGTACAAGTTTAAATAATTGTGACATTCATGATAAAAGCAAGGAGATAGTGATGAATAGCAAGTCAAAAGTGACCATTCTTTAGACATTTGTACTTACTCAACATGCTTCATGAACATGAAACTGCCACTAGGTTGTGCCAAAATGACTACATGTTGTGGAGGTTGAACTAACTGTTGTGCAAAGTTTAATTCTGTTGTGAGAAATGCACCAAAGCAACAGAGACAAACTGTAAAACAAAGCATAAGGCCTGGAGGACAGCAGAACCCCCTAGACTGCTGCCTTCCAGACTGCTGAAGGCACAGCCTTTTTATCCCAGGTGTGGGTCATCAGCAGGATTCAGCTCAGCTGTGCTCCTCAGCAGCTTGGAAGAGAGGAGGAGGGGTGGTGTCAGGCTGATCACCAGGGCTGGGTGATCCTGGCTCCTGCATCCCAATGGCCAGGCTGGCAGCCATCACACCCCCACACATAAAAAGAAAGAAAAAGGAAAAAAGCTAGTAAAACACACAATATCAACTTTAAAAACTTTTTCGTTAAAAGCAAGGATCACATTAAAAGCAAGAGAGCTCCCGATATAAAAACAATAAAAGAGGCTATCTGAAACCCTAGTCTTCATGTGCATCACAGGCGGGCAGATTAAGCACACGTGCATATGCACATCCAAACCAGCAAAAAGAGGGGGAGTTAGCCCCTGCTCTTCCTGGGGTGCTCCCGAGAAGGTGAAAAGATCACCAACACTAGCCCGCTGAATGCAACCCTAAAAAAACAAACAAACAGGTCAGCCTTCTCCAAATCCACAAAACACATGTGGATTGGTTGGGCAAACTCCCATGGCCCCTCCATCACCCTTGCAAGGGTACAGAGCTGGTCCACAGTTCCACGGCCAGGACGAAAACCACATTGCTCCTCCTCAATCTGAGATTCAATTATCGATCGGACCCTCCTCTCCAGTACCTTGGAGTAGACCTTTCCAGGGAGGCTGAGGAGTGTGATCCCCCTATATTTAAAACACACCCTTCGGTCACCCTTCTTAAAGATGGAGACCACCACCCCGGTCTGCCACTCCACAGGAACTGCCCCCGATGACCACGCAATGTTGCAGAGACGTGTCAACCACGACAGCTCTATCACATCCATAGCCTTGAGATACCCAGGACGAATCTCATCCGCCCCCGGGGCTCCGCCGCTGTGTAGTTGTTTGACTACCTCAGCAACTTCTGCCTGCGAGATTGGACAGTCCATCCCCAGTTTGCCAGAACCTCTTTGGCACCGATCGATAGTCTTTCTCCATGGCCTCACCAAACTCCTCCCATGCCCGAGATTTTTCCTCGGCAACTGCCACTGCTGCACCCCGCTTGGCTATCCGGTACCCGTCTGCTGCCTCCGGAGACCCACAGACCAGCCACGCCCTGTAGGCCTCCTTCTTCAGCCTGACGGCTCCCGGAACCTCTGGTGTCCACCAGCGGCTACGGGGGTTGCCACCACGACTGGCACTGGCCACCTTGCGACCACAGCTAGCAACAGCCACCTCAACAATCGCAGAGTGGAACAAGGCCCACTCGGAGTCGATGTCCCCCACTGCTCTCGGGATGCGGTCAAAGCTCTGCCGGAGGTGGGAGTTGAAGACCGTCTTGACAGGCGTTCCCAGCAGACCCTCACTATGCGTAAAAAGAATACATAAACCAAAAAGATCACATAGATTTTCTAAAATACACAAAAGGGGTTTAAAAGAAAGTGTAAGGCCTGGAGGACAGCAGAACCCCTAGACTGCTGCTTCCAGACTGCTGAAGGCACAGCCTTTTTATCCCAGGTGTGGGTCATCAGCAGGATTCAGCTCAGCTGTGCTCCTCAGCAGCCTGGAAGAGAGGAGGAGGGGTGGTGTCAGGCTGATCACCAGGGCTGGGTGATCCTGGCTCCTGCATCCCAATGGCCAGGCTGGCAGCCATCACACATGAAATAATAAACGTTTATGTTGATTAATTTATTGCTGTGAAGCAGTCAAGGCGTTATTAAATCACTTTAAATAAAACAGAATATGATTGTAAATAACTTGTAAAGTTAGGAAATCATTTTATCATTAAGAATAATTGTATTAAAAGGAAAAAGGGTCTCGTCTTCTGCATGAGACCTTGTGAGTTGCAGCTCCATATCAACATGGGAGATTATTTTGACAAAGTCTCCAGATGATAAAGCTAGAGACGGTAAACAGGGAATTGTTTTGTTATGGAGAAGAGCATAACACTCCCGGCAGAAGAAACCTGCCCGACGATTGAATGTCTGTTGACCTCTGACATTGCTGAGGCAGGCTGTGGACAAATAACCTTTGCCTTACATGGCCTTCTCCAATGCTTCACTCTTCTTTTTTGATACTTGGAATTTTCATAAAACTTTAAATTACAAACAAGAAAAAAAGCAACACAGAATTTTTTTTGCCTTCAACTTTATTAATTTTTAAAGAATCGTTACAAGGATTAATCATCAAAAAGAAAATGAAAAAGTAGAAAAACCTCAGCTGTTCATCAAATCTCTAGACATGAAATAGTTTGGTAAGAAATGCTGAAAATATGTGTTATGTTTCTTCTCTAAAATCCTAAGCTTTCCTCAAAGAGAAGGAATTTGAGGGTCAGATTAGAGCAGGGATTCTAATTAATTTCCATCTGTGTCTGTTAATTCAACATGTTGCATGCTTGTTTGTCCTTGGGAATCAGATGAAGACAATCCAACAAGCCCAGATCTGTGAACAGAGCAGCCCCCCTTTGTCCTTACGAGCAGACCATGTGCACCAAACGCACCACAAACGGCAGGATTATCTGATGACATAATCTTTAGAAACATTACTTTAATCTTGCTCATCTTTGAGATTATTGGACGAAGAAGATCGGGGCAAAAATTTGCATTATTATCCAGTCATGTGAACCAAACTCAACCAGTCCCACTGGTTTAATGATGCTTAAATGTAACACCTAAGTGCTGTTAGACTAATGTTATTAAATTTTTTGTTTCCATTTTAAGTGATCACAACATGGCAGTAATAACCATGTTATTGTTAGAATATGGGTTTTCATGAAACCATCATAATTTTTAGGTCACATTTCAACAACGATGTGTGTTTAATCATTTTAAACAACCATTTATTTCACCACCATAATTCTTACCACTGTTAGAATAAAAAGAAAAGGTAGAGGTCAAGCTACGAAAACACCAAGAAGATAATGGGTTATATTTTCATATATAGGCCACTACTGAAGAAAAGGCTTTAGTGAGGACAGCTAACATGTTACTGCTGACAATCCAGGATCAAACCAATCTCCATGACAACCCACAGGTGTCCCAGGTCATAGCTGACGTGTTTGACGGGCAGACAAAAAGGGATCTGAACCCAGTCTCTTCCTTGTGGAAGACTGCTGGTGATGCCAGTTCTGTAAAGAGAACAGGAGGAGACTTGATTACTTGGAATCTTGTTTACGTTTGCAATACAGAGCAATAAGTTTAAACCCTGATGGATAGAGATAAGCAAATATAGGAAGTGATAATATACTCATGATAAAATAATTAATAGAAAGTGGAAATAATTAGAGAAGTGGCTACTAAATACACTATGTAAGTACTGATCAGAGTGGTTCAGTTCAGGTACAAAGTAACACAACACCAAGTCGTGTGACTGGAACCAAGCAACTGGAGAGGGCAGTCCTAGGATTGTCGTTGACTAGAGGCAGAGCCGCTGCAGGCGTTGATGCTGACTTGACTAGAGGCGGGCCCGCAGAAGGCGTCAATGTTATTCAAGTGTTGTTTTAGTGTTTCTGTTTGTCCTTTTGGTATGATTTCTTGTATATCATCTATGTAGCGTTTCCATAATTTTATTTTGCAGTTTGGGGGACAGTGGCTATGGCTTTTTGTTCTAGGTCTTCCATGAAAAACAAACAAGTTGGTCGTGTGAGTTGCCGGAACCTATGAGACAGTTGCTGGAACGGTCCTTTCAAAATTAGACAGTTACCGGATCTTGTTCCGGCAATATCTGGCTCAAATTAACCCCTGGCAGGATCCCTAGGCGTTCCCTCGCCAATGCGGAGAGAGAAGCGTCCAGGGGGCATTCTCCCCAAATTCCCAAACCACTTCAGCAAAGCTCTTGATATGGTGGAATCATCGACATATACAGTATAGAAATGGACATAGCCCGCCCATTGCTGTTAATGTTTATTTGAGTCAAAATGTGAGGTTCCCACCACCGCCATTTTGGCAATGTCACTCGTCACGCCCAGACAATCCAAAAATGGGAGAAGAGGTTGGGCTGAGAGTGGGGTTATGAGGGTGGGATAGAGCAAATGAAACAATGTAGCGGCTATCTAACTGAGCTTATCCTTGAAGCTAATGGAGGAAGCTCAGATAGAGCTCCGGGGCAGCAAGGTTGTGCTGCAGAGAAGTTTGCTGAGTTTTGGTAATGTGCCTCTCTCTTTAACTGATTGCAGGGCCGCCGCTGTTAAAGAGAGAGACACGTTACCAAAACCCGGCAAACCTCTCTGCAGTGGCGGCTAGCTAGCCTTGGTCAGCTTACCTAGTTTGAGTTTCAATACCTTGCCAGCCCCACCAACACGTTGTATTTCAACCCAGGTCCTAGAACCCCTCTTGCGGTACTGGAGCCGATGAAACAACGTCAACAGTACTACAGACTAGTCTTTGGATTGTCTCCAGGTAAAAAGCGACAGTTGGTTGACATCGTCAGATGGACCCAGAAGGTCAGTGAGTTCAGCTTTTATTCTGAAAGGAACCGTTGCAGCAGGTGGAACGGCAATGGGTTTATCCAGCTTGTCATTGGTTCTTTCGGTTGAAGAGGAGAGTCACAGATTGGCCACTCCGTCAACTTCTCTTGAACGCTTTGAACTGGTGTATAAGATGACGTGGGCATAGTTTTATACTTCGGATGTTTTGGTTAATGGTCGAATGAAAAGGTGACAGATTTACCAAGCACCACCAAAACCACGCCTCCTTCAGATCTGGCAGATTCTGATTGGATCAGTAAAAGCAATGTGTCATGTCTTAACACTACGTGAGATCAGTCCTAGTGGAAACATTTAAAGTCATATTACTTATTATATTCTATGGGATTATGATAAAGTAATTAACATTTTGATTTCACAGATTGGTCACATCTTATTATTGACTTAACACTTTATTTGATTAGCTTTATTAAAAATAGAGTTCTTTGATTTATTAAAAGCAGAGAGTCATTTTCTTCATTCTTCTCTTGAGCTGGAAAGGAAGCAGTTTAGAGCAAATGCATGAGACCTGGAGGCAATATCTCATGCAGATTAGTTCTGTGTCAGAAGAGAGGGGAAAAATGACTTTTAGGTGGAAAACAGTCATTTCATTCCATTACATTCCAAAGCTCACACTTCCTTTGGCCATTCATCATTCCAGTTTGCTGCTCTCAACGACTGGAATGAGCTGCAAAAATCACTGAAGCTCACTACCTACATTCCATTACCTTCAATAATTCATTTCAATCAATAGTTTTGGATCAATGTGCTTCTGATTACTTAAAGACTGTTTTAAGTCTGTTTTGATTGCTTGTACATATATATGAGAACAGTCCTTTGTCTTTATGTCCAACAGTTTTATCTTATTTTAATCTTGTATGGTTGTTTTTTGGAATGAAGATCACCCAGTATAGAGAGATCTATGCTTTCTGCTCAGCTTCCTCTTTACCATGACAGATGTGCATCCGCATCACTTCTCGCTCTGTCCTTAAGCCGGGCGTACACTGTGCGACTTTTTCACTCGCAGCGTTCAGCTTCAGCTCAAACTGTACGACTTCCTCGCAGAGCAGATCTCACGAGTCATGTGCTCACACTGCACGACCCAGTTCTCGCATGCGACCTGACTGCTCACACCGTACGTCTGGTAGCAACACGTCGGCCCTAAAAATATGCTAAAAATAGCAGTTTTTACACAACACATTAGACTTTTTTGTCTTGTCTTGCCTGTTGTCCTTCGGGAGTGCTGCAGGAGGACACACAGGGATTTATGGGGGTTGGATGAGTAAAACGAAATAAAGAAAGTAAATCAGTGTTTAGTGATCAGTTTAATTTGACATGAACACGACAAACACGCTTTCTTGACAATCTTTGTGAGTAAAAAAACGTGTAGAAACAAAAACGAACAGCGTGTGTTATTAGGGAAATAGCGAGCGGCGTTGATGCAGGATTGCGCATGCGCCGTGAGCGGTTCTGATACATTTTGGGTCGCAGCTGCTCGCAGCACCACTTCAACAGTGCGATACCCTCACGAGGGACGAGCGAAATTTTAAACAAGCCAGAAGTCCGTGCGACCTCACGACTGCTGATCGGTAGCTGGTCACGTGGTGTTAATCGCCTCTCGTAACCCCCTGTACACTACACGACGCTCGGCGCAAAACTCGCCCCGATGTCGTGGATTCTCGCACGACTGGAAAATCGGCTCAAAAAAGTGAAAAAGTCGCACAGTGTACGCCCGGTCACTTGTGGACAAGGCCCCAAGATATTTAACTTCCTTAACTTGACATTTGCAATTCGGTAAACAGCACTAGACAGATGCTTAAAAGTAACAAGGTAAAGGACGGTGAGGGACAAACGCAAAATTAAGTCAACAGTCTGATTTCTTTCTTCCAAATATTATGAAAGTTGATAGAATGCTAAATTCAATATTAACCCTTTGATGCATGAATTATGAAATCTTCAACCATGATTTTTTAAATAATTTTTTTCATTCATTTTTAGGTGTGAATCAAACAAATTTCAACAAATATTTTTTGTAACATTTAATAATTTACAAATATTAACTACTCCTCTACTGTCCACTCCTTGTTCCCTCCTCTCCATGACTGATGTTAATTTGTTGTTGTTACTATTGTTGTTAGCCTCAAGGGCAAAATGCCGATTATCACTTGTAAGTCGCTTTGGACAAAAGCGTCTGCTAAATACATAAACATAAACATAATTTATTACATGTCCACCTCAGTGGACAGCGTGCATTATGAACATGAAATATGTTTGTTTGACTTACTGAAGTCCAAATGGAAGGTCTCAAAAGCAATAAAGTCTTGAACAGCTATGCTTACTAGCAAAAATAAATAATAACAATTTTGAGTACCTGTCCACTATAGTGACAATCAGTAGCGGTTTTAGGCACGGGCAGACAGGGTAGTTGCCCGGGGCGGCATTTTTTCATGACACAAAAGGGGCGCACAAGCGCGGAGTAAAAAAAAAAAAAAAAAAAAAAAAAAAAGGAAATCTGCGCCGCACCGAGGTTTTCTATTATCTGTCATATGACAGTGTCTGGATTGGAAACGGCAAGTTGGCGCCCCCTGCAGCTGCAGGCGCTCCTGCTGACTGAGAACGTTCACGTGCACCGTGTGTCTATGAAGAACAGGAAGGGAGGGGTGCGGCGGGGCAATTCACCTCTGCGTCTTTCCCAAAAGAAATGAGCGAGTAGGGGCTGAAGTCAATCACATCTTAACGTTCTTCCATATTTCATTCATAATACCATAAACACAGGCCTATCATTGTGTGAAATGACCAAATAAAAAAAGGAAAAACAAAACGATTTTGTGGTCACCCCCCCATCAAGGTCAAATAGTTTAGTCCTGACTAAAGGAAACTTATTGAGTCAAGAGCCAAACAGAAGAGATGAACATAAAAAGGCTAAAACCAACAGGTGCCCGATTCAGGGGGAAAAGGAAAAAAGGAGAAAGATAAAGGTATGTAGCTCTCATGATGCATGTTTTCCATTTTTTGAACCAGTTAACTGGGATTTTAACGGTTAAATGCGGTCAACTAATTGCTAACAGAGCTAATAGGGCTGAAAAATTTAAACGAATATTCAAATGGTTCGAAAAAAGTCCTTGAATCGTTTTTTACTGATTCAAACTAGGATTTGTTAAATGCTCGCTGCAGCCCGTGGCCTGCCTGAACAACAACAAACACATGTTGATCATGTTCACATAATAATAAATAAAACAACTCTACAAGCAGAAGAAAACTCCCCAGTCACCACTAACTATCCTGTTTATTTATTGCAGATGGCTGCACGGATTATTTTTTACATGATTTGTTCTGTAAAAGTTGGCATTTTTGGTAGTCTACAGTTTTTTTTATGTCAGTTTAAATTACAATTTCAGAGGCAATTCTAAAATATTATGGATCATGATAAAGATCTATTGGAGATCTACCCCAACTTTTGGACTGCTCTGCCAGTCACTGTGGCTCAAGCTGAGAGGAGCTTTTCAAAACTTGATCAAGTCATACCTGAGGTCAACTATGTTTCAGGGGCGGCTCACTAACCTGGCTCTGATTAGTATCAATCACTCAGTAGGGGAGCAGATTTCATGTGATGACATTATTGATGACGTTGCATCAAGGTTAGGTTTTAATTTTAGTTTGTGTTTTCTGTTCTAAGTGCAATGCTGTAGTGATTATCTTTAGTTTGTTATGTGTGAAATATTTTTGCTATTTAGAATATTTATTATATATTATGTTCATATATTCTTAATATTTAGTTATTGTTTGTTTTTGTATATTTGATTCTATATATTTTGATACAGTATATAATGTATAGTGCTTTACATTCTGACAACTTCATAGTAATGAATGTACATATGTGCAATTTAGAAAAATGAATGTTCAATAGTCGTTCTAATAAAACATGCCTGTTTGTAGAAAACATGCGTGTGTTCGTGCAGGTGGGGTGGTGTGGTGGTGGTGGTGGGGGGGGGGGGCGGGGGGGCTTAAAGGGGGCCTCGCCCGGGGAGTAATTCGATGTAGAACCGCCACTGGTGACAATTATGCATCAAAGGGTTAAAATGATTACATTTTGTGACCCCTAGATAAGGACAATGTGAGCTACAACAAAGACATTTTAAAGCAGATTTACCTTTGGAAGACGTCACCATTTGAATTGACCACAAAGACACTCCCATCCGTTCCAACTTCAGCCATTTTTGCAGCTCCTGGCACCTGTGTCCAGCTAGTCTTACTACAGGTAGATGGATTCACGTTCTATTGGAAAAATAACATATGATCAGAGGTCATAATCAGTGATTAGAACAATGCTGCCTTGAGGTAAAGATAGAAGAGCTTACAGTGACATAGATGTTATCAGCGGAGTTCACTCCCCAGCATCCATTTGGTCCACAGCTGAAATACGTCAGCAACCCGTCAAACGGTGTCCAGGCCACTGGACCAGGTTGTGGATAGGCCAAGGTGATGCTACTTTTCAGGCAGAAGATGTTGTCTGCACTGTTCACTCCCACTATCTGTTCATTACCTCCAGCATCCATCTGCTGTAATAAACCTGACAAAAAATTCAACAAACATTTAAAAAGATTATCTTTGTGTAGCTTAAACTGTAACATTTGTTTATTAAATTACTCACCATCAACAGAAACGAAGTCTCCTCTTACAAACTTGTAGATCTTGTCAAACGAGTCGACTCCCCAGATTCCTGCAGGTCCCACTGTGACATGACTGAGAGGAACAGTGCCCAGTTTGGACCAACCTGATCCACTCAAGAAATACGCGTTTGATGAGCTGTCTGTCATCACCACTTGTCCTTGTCCAGCATCAATCTGTGCAGCAGAAGGCTGCTGTGGGGGGGCTGTGCAGGTCCATCCTGTAGAGAGAAAAAAATAAAAATAAACAATGTTCTTTTCTTAATTGAAAATAAAACATTTTATGCATCACAGTGAAAACCTACCATGACAGTTAGACAAGTAGCTCAGCAGGAGCAAGAAGGTTGCAACAGCATTCATGGTGTCTTCTGTGTGGTGCAGGGTGACTTCTCGTGTAGCTCTGGATCAGCTGGTGTCCGAAAACACACATCTGTGCGACTTTAGAATAGAAACATAGGCGTGGCCAATGTTACTGGACTGGTTATTCTGGCAGTAGAAAATTTACATTTACCATTTTGTGCTGACAAGTTTCTACTAGTGCTGTAGCCTTCCTCAGGGCACTGTTGATGTTGGAAGGCTACAGCATTAGCCGAAACTTGTCAGTAAAAAATGTTAAAACAAATCTTCTACTAAGCTGTGTTTAAAAATATAATTAAAACAATGAAAGGATTCCACAGAACAGACAGACAAAAGATGCTTATCCTGGTGTTTCGCAGACTCTAGAAGAGGAAAATTTTAATTATTGTAACGTCACAAAATGGCCTGATTTTGAGATCCCACAGGTCAAATGCACAGCCAGGTCAACTCCATGTTGAGTACTCTTTATCACTGAATACAGTTTAATTGCAAACTACAGACTAATTACAGATTAATTGCACACTACAATGAACAACCATAATAGAAATTCAAAACTCTGTCTCATATCTGTAAGTTAATGTGGTGGAAAAATATTATCTAATCTAGAGCCAAGGTAAAAGATTTGACCAAAATAGGTGATATTAAAAAAAAAAACTAATTTTGATCGCCCTGTAATGAATCATGTTGCTTGACAAGGACCAGCTCACAGGACTGCAACCTAAGGAGAAAGTCTGGGTGGAGACACATGGTAGAATTGGAATATTTTGCTTCTTAAGATCAGCCAAAGCTTCACCAACATGGTTAACAGGCAGGAGCTCCTGAGGTGACCTCTTTGAGCAAGAGAAAAGCCATAAAGCGACTCCAAAATATGGGCCTTTCTAGCCTGTTTTGGGGGGTGCTGAAGCACCCCTAAATCCATCCCTAGCACAACAGACTGATTTAGCATGAGGTTAGGTGGCACTCTGGCTAATGGAGAAGAAGCACCTGGTTGTGAGAGTTGTCAAGACTGGCGGTTTTAACTGGTTTTAATCGTTTTTAAAAATACTGGTTTCAACCGTTTTAACTGGCTTTAACCGTTTTAGCACTGTGAACTTTTTTAAATAACTTTTTTGGAGTTCGACTGCTGTCTGTTTTTACCTGCTGTCTACTTCCACCTGCATCATGCCTCTCACCAGCGGCCCTGGGTGTGTCGGCTGTGTGAGACTGAGCCAGAAAGTTCTAGAGCTGGAGAAGAGGATCTCCACGCTCCACCAAATCCAGGACCATGTGTGCGACGTGGACACTATCTTCTCCCGGATCTTTGCCACCACTGATGGGGCTCAGCTGGCGGATGTCATCTCATGCCAGTCCGGCCTAACTGCCGGAGCAAGTTCCATCTCCGGTTCTGCAAGCGGGCTCGGAGTGCCGGGGGCCTGCACGGTGTTCGCGGTGGAGGAGGAGGAGCGCTGGTTCCACCTGGGGGCAAAACCGAAACCCCCCCTCAGCTCCACTCCCATGTTCCAGGGTGCATTGGTCAAGGTCGGGTCGGGCCAAGATGGGGTACGCGGGGCGGCGGACTCCGATCTCCTCCACCTAGCCTGCCCTTGTCCAACCATTTCGGCGCCTTGGATTTTCTTCCTCTGCCAGCCCCTGGCTGTGACTTCGCAGGACCCTCCCAGCCACTGTGGGACCAGCTGAACGCCAGCGGCCCTCCACGCCGCGCCACCCCCCAGACTGAAGCTGGGACCCGCCGAGGAGCATCGACTTCTCGTCACTGCAGTCCCGGGGGAGCTCAGCCCATCACTCAGCAGGTTCTGGGAAGGTCCTTTGCCCAGCTTCAAACAGCGGACACACTACCACCACCACCACCATCTCCACCACCAACCACTCTCATCGTCGGGGACTTCATCTGTAACATCAGGATGAGAGGAGCCCTGACCTTCTGTTACCCCAGAGCTACAGTGATGGACATTGCAGGACACGTCCCAGACCTCATCCAGAAATAAACACTCATAATGTCCTACAGATATTTCAGTCTGGTTTTAGGGTGAACCACAGCACAGAGACAACCCCTTTGAAGATTTTAAATTATTTTAGATTGAATTATGATAAATGGAGGGTGACAGTGTTGGTTCTACTGGATCTAAGTGCTGCCTTTGATACAGTAGACCACACTATTCTTTTAACTCACTTAAAACAGATCAGCCTCTGTGGTGCTGTCCACAGATGGTTCACATTCTACCTCACAGGCAGGACTTTTATGGTGAGTTTAGATACCTGTTCCTTGAAGGTCCATGGGATTACATGTGGTGTGCCCCAGGGTTCAATTTTAGGCCCAGTGCTTTTTAACCTTTATATGCTCCCTCTTGACAGTGTCATTAGCAGACTGTCATGGTCTGCGTCTCCCTCATGTGTCTCCTTGTGTTCTCCATCCCTCTCTAGGTTCTCCTTATGTGTCTCCTAGCGTCCTCATGTGTCCTTGTCTGCATCTTCCTCATGCATACCCTGATCTGCAACCCCTCTAGGTTTTCCCCCTCCCCAGGTATCCCCCCTGGTCCTGTGCTCCTGTGGTCTCCCTTATTCACACCTCTGTAGTTTTTTCCTATAGGTTCAGCTTTTCATTGAATTAGTCTTTTTTTAGTGTGTTTCTTTCTCCACTGTTTTTTTTTAGTTCTCCTCAGATCATTAGTTGTTTATCTTAATCTTCTTGTCTTCAGGTTTTGCTTTTACTCTTAGGTCAAGTTATTTTCCCCTCCTCAGCTCACTCTCCCCTCACTGATTAGTTAATTGATTTCACTAGGTCTCTCTCCCCACACACCTGCAGCTCATCTCCCCCTCATCCTTCCCCAGTGTACAAAATTTGGTGGCACGTGTCCTGATATATAATTCCATCAGTGGAATGAAACACAAATCCAATAAAAACCCATTTTAACATTCTAAACTTTGCATTTATTAATCATTTAGCCATCGAGAACAAAGCTGCAGCTGCTGCTACCTCTGTGGATCAGCGGTGGCGTTAATTCACCACCTCGTAGCTGCCAGCTGCCAACAAGAAAAAGGGGACGTAACAGACCTCTTCCTATCATATTCACCAAGCATGAACAAGCCTAGCTGGCAGCCTGCCACAGACAGGTTTGTTGTCCAACATCTGTTACCATAGTGAATGGGAGGGGCTTCAGGCTAGCCACTTATGTGGTAATGAATTTGGAGATTTAAACAGGGATTTTCAAAAAGAGCCTTGATTTTGGGATTAGCACGTGGTATATCTCGCTGTAGGACTCTCTTACCTGGTTTGCATGTCTGTGTTATGATGAGTCTCAGTGGCTGACTGAGCTGTCAATCTAATTTAGGTGACTAACACTTCATTTTATTGGCCCCAACTTTAGAAAAGAGGTGTCAATCATGCAAATTGACCATTCAGCCACGGAGGTAGAAGGCTGTTTAGTGATGCTTCAGGAATAGCTCCAGCTTATGCCAGCAGCAGCAGTTGAAAACAACTTTATTGTCCTGTTTTAAATTGAATTATAATTTAAATGCCTTTTTTGGAAATTAAAAGCTTGAGTGTCAAAAAATAATGTCCATGTATATTGTTTGATTCTCTGCCTCATTATTTTCAATTAAAAACGTTATTTCAGGGAAATTTTATTGAGTGATTAAAATGCAATTAATTAAGATTAATAGATTACAAAGCCTCTGATTAATTAGATTAATTTTTAATCAAGTCCCACCCTTGTTTTTCCCTTTAGTTTTGTTATTTTTTTCTTCTTCCTTTTCTCTAAGTGTATGTGCTGTAACCAAGTGAATTTCCCCACTGTGGGATGAATAAAGTCTATTCCATTCTATTCTATTGGTAAACTGTATAAAGGGAGACTAGGTAGTCTTGACTGCTTTCAGCATCCCCTAGTGTCCGTGTATCAGAACCAAAAGCAAAATTTATTTACTTGCTGTGCGTTTGTCTTTTTTACACGTTAATCTAACAGCTGAAATGTCTCCATAGCCTTCATTAGCACCTACAAGAGCGGTTCATCATTAAATTAAACAAAACAGCTGTGTTCATGATCTAAAACATGCAGGAAACTGTACGCCAGGTATTTCAGCTCAATTTTCTTTTAAGTGCAACAGACTGGACCGGCACTCTGAAGTTACAGATGTGGTATTCTGGTCACAGAGAGCGGTGGAGGTCTAAGTGACATTACACTGTAAAGGGCCATTTTAGCACATACTGGCTCAAGAAAATGATTTAAAAATATGAAAAAGTTACAAAGCATCCCTTTAAAATACAAGGGCTATATTTATTTTTTGGCTTGTTTATTTAGCCTTTGTAAGTCCATGTGAGGTGAACAGAGTAAATCAACTAAAACACTGCTTGGAAATAACCATATTCAAAGATTTCTAGACACACAAAATAATTTTTTCAGAAAATAATCAATAAAACTAAAATATACTATAAAAGAAGTGAAATCTGCTTCAGCTGGCTAAACAAACGACTGCCCACACTGAGAGTCAATCTGTCACAGAGAGCTGATACAGAGAGCTGCTACAGTGTATCATTCATTCATTCATTCATTCATTCATTCATTCATTCATTCATTCATTCATTCATTCATTCTCACACTGATGGTGATGAGCTACAATGTAGCCACAGCTGCCCTGGGGCGCACTGACAGAGGCGAGGCTGCTGAGCACAGGCGCCACCAGTCCCTCCAACCACCACCAGCAGGCAAGGTGGTTTAAGTGTCTCGCCCAAGGACTTAACAGCACCTGCAACTTTCCGATTCCTGGACAACCCGCTGGACAACCCGCTCAACCTGTTGAGCTACTGCTGCCCCTGATCTGCACGTCTATGCGATGTTGACTGTTTGCAGGGCTGCAGGTAGAACATGAAAACAGTCTTCTACACAGATCTCCTGTGTTAGCTTCTGTTAGAAAATATATGGTGAAACGCTAGGATTTGAAAATCCTCACACTGTGAATTTGCTTTCATGGCCTTGCCCATCTTGGCTCCCGCTCACCCAGAGGAAGGCTTTTTGGGGTTTTCTGCAGCGTGGAGAGAGAGAGAGAATGGAGAGTGTCTTGATGATAATGAATTTGCAACATGGCTGAATGTGT